ATATTATGAATAAAAATAAATATATTTTCTGCAATTAGATTAAGTACATCTTCTTAAATAACATATATTTTTTTAAATCTTTACTACTGTTATTTTTTCATACAGAAGCCGTTATAATGGCGCATTATTTTGCAAAAAATCGTATATAAAAACGTGGTATTATTCTATATTTCTGAATAAAATTGTAAAATGTTCACTGTAGACTTTGTTCTCAAATATATACTCTATTTTTTTGTATAATTGATATTTTTTTACAGTGAACCAAAACTCTAAAACTCACGCTTGATTTGAGGTCTTTTCCTGAATTTTGGTTTTGTCGCTTTAGATATCGCTGTTTATAACAGGTTTAAAACTAAAATCTTAATATTTACATTGTACATTTTTTAGATGAAGATATGCTTGATTAAATGTTCAAGTAACATATTATTTTTACATAACGGTTTTCGAGAAACTCGCATGTTTATAAAGCCAATATTTGCAAATTTGCTAGAAAAAATTGAATGCGCTCTTAATTAAAAACAAAAGCTTTTACTGTAAGGTCACCTTACCCACTTAAGGCTCCAAATGTCAATAACATCAGAATAAACCTCAATCTGTTTAAAATACCCGCATTAGTCCTCCGGGCAGTGAGGGTAAGCGCGGGTCATAGATTAAGGAACAATCAGAAGGTATATAAAAAGTAGACTTTAAATAAAGTCACAGAAGTATTAAAAAAAACTTTAGATTGAAAAATTGGTACAAACTAGTCGTCCGGTATTAACTCGGGTGACAAATCTACAATAAATTATCGCGAAAAAATTATTTATTTGACATAATAGGTACAAAATAATGAAAAATGTTGTTTATTTGACAACTTTGTGCGCGACCCTCCTGCGGGTACAGACGGTGGGAGGGCGAGGGCACGTCATTTAATATGACGTGCGGCGCGGTTGCGCGTCTCCCTTCCCCGCTACCCGCTGACATCTCCCCTCCCAACGTCTGTCACCCCTAGGGAAGGTCGCGCACGAACCTGTCGGACTATACTTATACACATTACGTTACGAGTATTTTAATGAACAAGCTTAAATGTTGACTCCGTGAATAATGGGAAAATATTACGTCTACTGTTATAGAGGTATGGTCGGTATACGTGGTGTAAGGGACGGTATAACGAAAACTTTGCAGACGTGCTCAGACCATGAAACTGAACAACTTTTACTATGAAGCCAAATATACTAGGAAACGAAAAATTTTTCCGACCCCCCATACAAATCCAGTCAGCTGATTGTGAATTTTGTAGGAGGCCGGTTTTTTTTTCGTTTCCCACCATTGGCTCCATAGTAAAAGTTGTTCAGTTTGATGGTCTGATCGTGCCTGCAAAGTTTTCGGTACACCGTCCCTAACACCCTGTATGTAGGTGATCCTGCACATATTTTTCCGATAGAAAGGTAAGTAATATAAGTACCTAATCCCAATAATTATTTATCGGGGACACAAAACCACACGTCGCAGCATATATCACCATGTTGTAATTTTTATGGTAGACGTTTCGAACCGCACTATTAACCGGTAGTTGAGTATGTACTAAAGGATACCGTATACTTACCTACATACACTTCTGTATCTCTGTTTCATCTTTGCCAGGGGAGGTAACAAAAATAACGAGCAGCCAGGTCTTAAATCTTGAGGCGAATCTACTTTAATGGCATTTAAATTAGCTTTTTATTTATTTACCCGACGTGGCGCAAACAGCTAATCCGGGAGGATTGTGTTGTCACTGTATGGATAAACACTTGATGGGTACACAATTAAATGGAATACGAAATACTTACGAGGGCAATGTGCGAAAGTTAATAAAATTGATGAGTAAGTAGGCAAGTAATAGACTTATGCAGATTTGCAGACAGAGATTACATACTTACATCACGCCTATATCCCTTGCGGGGTAGAAAGAGCTTAAACAGCTGTAGAAAACGGCCATTTACACCACGTCTGTCAAATGTTTAAGTGTATAATTCAGAAGACTGTGTATCACTATAGTATCAGGTTGTCAGCCTGTCGCCTAAAATTGCAATTACATCAACTCTTGAATCCCATAATAATACATTCCTACATTTCGATCGAGATGTAGGTAAAATATCTATCTGGGTTGGTGCAGCTGAGACGTTTAGATTTAAAAGCTTGACTCTACATAAGGTGTAATATCTGTTTCACAAGGTAATGCTCTCGTCTTAACGACATTTTTCTTGAGTATGTTTTTTGTTTTACCAACCTCAATCCCCAAACCCTAGTCCAGCAAAGAGAACATTCAGATAACCGTAATCAGAACATCCAACAGAAGCGAGGTGTGCAACCGTCGGAAGGTGGAGCTTGGACGAGTAGATTTAGATAAGCTTTTCTCTGCTTGAGATGTAATATTGTTGATATATTTTTTACATTTTACTTAAAGTTGTTTTAGGTGCCCTCAATCCCCAAATCTTTGTAAAAGAGAACATTCGGATAACCGTAATCAGAACATCCAACAAAAGCGAGGTGGTCAACCATCGGCAGGTGGAGCTTGGACGAGTAGATTTAGATATGTGAAAGCTTTTCTCTGCTTGAGATGTAATATTGTTGATATATTTTTACATTTTACTTACTTAAAGTTGTTTTAGGTGCCCTCAATCCCCAAACCTTTGTTCTGTAAAAGAGAACATTCGGATAACCGTAATCAGAACATCCAACAGAGGCGAGGTGTGCAACCGTCGGCAGGAAATACGTGCCCCCGCGGCCACTTCCGCCGGATAAGTGGCCAGGGTCGGCCCAATTTCCGCTTTTCACGTTTCATAGATTCCTGCGTATGATAATTTTTGAATTTGGAATGTGGACCTAAAGATTTCAGTTTTGTTAAGCGTAGATTATGACATGTTTAATTTTTCTGAAGAACTTTCCTTGGCCGTAATTTACAATATCAGCAGACAACTAAGATCTTTTAAAAGCATTAAATAATTATGTTATGGATTAAGTCGCATTATAAAATACTGCATAGTAGAATACCAAATTTTAAAACACTTCTCGTGTTAGGTACCTATACAAATTACGGAAAATTGATTTTTTTTCCACTGTTAGCAGGGTTTGAACATCTGTACTGCCGACGCCACTACCAACTGGGCTACCACAGTTCTAGTCTAGCCTGTGAATTTTATTGTCCTGTTCCGTTGTTGTTAATAGACAAGATACACTATTACTTGTTTTCCAAATAAATGAAATGCAAAGCTAGATAAGGTAGAAGGACTTGAAGACATCTGCTAGCACCTTGTTAGGCCAATGCAAACTTTGTTTATACAAACCTCAAATCTATTTCCGTGCTTAATCTATGCTGTGCTGTGAACTTCAGCGTAGGCTACTTTCAGCCGGTTGTCACCTTGACTCCGCATTCACCAATTATCTCCGCACTTTATTGTTCCTTTGATGACTCAGTCCCACTTTGCCACAGTCCCAATTGTCACACTCTATATAACCATAACAGCCACAGCAGTCCTCGGCTGGACATGGGCCTCCCTCTATCGGGGGGTATTGCCATACTCACCACGCTTGGCAGGCGTATTGGCGAGCGCAGTGCCAAGATGTTACAATTACATGGAACGCTGCTGCCCATTCCCTGGATGTATATCCCTTAGTCGCTTTATAGGACACCCACGGGTAGAATTGGGGTTATGCTATTCTAAGCCGGCATCACACGGCATATAGCTCTATACAGCAGTGCTTAAACTATCCTGCAAACTTCACTGTAGGCTACTTTCAGTCTGCTGTCACCTTGACTCCGCATTCGCCAATTATCTCCGCACTTTATTGTTCCTTTGATGACTCAGTCCCACTTTGCCATAGTCCCGGTTTGTTACACTCTATATAACAGTGCTTAATCTATGCTGTGAACTTCAGGCTACTTTCAACCGGCTGTCACCTTGACTCCGCATTCGCCAATTATCTCCGCACTTTATTGTTCCTTTGATGACTCTGTCCCACTTCACCACACTCTGTATTTCAGTGTTTAGAACAGTCTAGTTGGGGAGTATTCGCCATTTAATCACGCTTGGCAATCGCAGGGTTTTGTATTCGCAGAGAAAGTTGCTGACCTTTCCCTGGATTCTTCCTTTAGCTAGGTTGTCCTTTATGATACCCACAAATACAAATGGGAGGGATGCTTAGTTCAGTACGTTTATATGACTTGTTTGAATGCTTTTTTCAGCCGACGGTATAGTGTGACTAAACGGGAGTAATATTTTATTAACAAAAAGTAGCTGTGTGTCGAATCGGGACTGATTTCTTATGGGACGATGACAAAGTGGACCTAACTGTACCTATTTGATACCGTGTTAAATAACTAATGGTCGGCCATAACCCCTTTGTGTGTCCCAGTAGGTGCGTCTGCGGCGTAGATGCTTTATTCTCGTAGGTAATAAATGTCACGGCTAGCAGGTGAATAAAAGTATGTCTGCTCTTTGTTCTATAATTTGCTCTTTGTTCTTAAATTTCGGTCATGAGTGATTTTTTCTACGTACTTCCATCACACACATAGGTTCATACACAAATTACGCCTATATTTCCTGCAAGGTAAGCTGCGCGTCCGGGAAACGGTTGTTATAGCCACGTATTGCCGTGTGATGCCGGCTCAGAATAGCATCACCCCATTTCTACCCATGGATGTCGTACAAGGCGACTAAGGGACGGATCCAAGGAATGGGCAGCAGCGTTCCCTGCGAGCACATGACCGCCTGCCAAGTGTGGTGAGTATGGCAATACCCCTCCATTGGGGGAGGCCCATGCCCAATTGTGGACTGTTGTCGCTGTAGTAGTAATAGCCACGTATGACAAAATACTTAATTATAGTCTATTCATGAAGAAAATTTATCAATACATTGCAAAGAAATGTAATCATGTAACCCTTTTACTTGGTCACTTCATAGGCAGCTTTGTTGTTATTTTTATCTTATGTTGAACACAATACATCTGACGTCAAGAAATTATAAAAATAAGTTGTGCACGAGTAGGATTCAAACCTACGCCTTTCGGCGTACCGTGCCAATGCTCTCACCACTAAGCTATTCGTTGTTTTAACTCGGTCAGTGAAATAAGCACGCTCTCTATTTGCGTCAATGTGTGAACTATACTTAGAAAGAACTCGAGCCAAAGTCCCAGGTTTGAATCCCACACGTGTAAAGTATAGAGCTTCTATATGTTTAAGTTAGTGTAACCAAATCAGTGCCAAAATTTTCATATTATTATCTAACTTATCATTTTCTCAAAATTTTCCGGCCAAAATTCCACGTAAAACGCTGAAAAGGCTTTTATCTTAACAAATTAGTAGTCTCTACCAACAATCAGTTCTAATCAACAGCATCCCATAATCAGTCAATCAGCCTCCCCCCTCCCCAAACTTTCCCCTCCCCGCAAGTCGTAAACAAGTTAGACCCACAGCCATTTAGACCGAGTGGGTCGTATTTTTACTTTTACGTACCTATTTAAACTGAAAATGATTAGTGTCACTGAAAAGTTCATGAAAATGTTGGTAAAGTTGTAATGTAGTCCGGACTAGCTAGCAGCGGGAAGCGCTGGACTACATGGACATTAAATGAGCTCGGGTGTGAGTGTGTGGGATCAGACAGGAATGATACACAGAGTTACACAAATACAGGTTTTATTACATTAATAAAAGCTTCGCACAAATTACAATTCGACGGTAAAAGTGATATTACGATACCCTAACGGCGGGGTTGCTTCAAGGGGTCCGGGCAGGTGCAGCGGGGGCGGGCAGCTGGGCTGAGTCCTGACGGAAGGTAGCGGCGGTGGCGGCGGTGATAGCGGTGATGTTCCCTGGGGAGAGAGACCGAGTTAGAGCAAGCGTTATGATGGGTGCTTGGGGCCCCTACCGTGGGCAAGGTAGGGGTGTTGATGGGGGTTGAACAATGAGTGCGGTAAAGCGGCAGGGATGGCTATCCCTCGGGGTGATCACGCTGGATCGGGTCACGGTTCGGGTCCTGTGGGAGTGTATCCACACTCTACAGGAATGGCGGGTGCACTCAGCGATGGGCCCTCAGCAATATAGGGCTAGCGGGGTGCAGTGAATGACGGTATGGGGGTGCAGTTCGGTGCGTGCCAAGCGTGGGGTAAGCAAGCGACTTAGGGATATTGCCTACGAATGCGTGGGCACGCAACAAGGTGTCCCGGCAGTGTGCGTCGCGCCTACAAGAGCGCGGATCGCTTGGTTGGTGTCGTGTCGCGCCTACAAGAGCGCAGATCACGGGCAGGGGTTGTGTCGCGCCTACAGGAGCGCGGACCACAGGGTAGTAATAGTGTCGCGCCTACAAGAGCGCGGATCACGGGCAGGGGTTGTGTCGCGCCTACAGGAGCGCGGACCACAGGGTAGTAATAGTGTCGCGCCTACAAGAGCGCGGATCAAGGAGGCTGGGGTTGTGTCGCGCCTACAGGAGCGCAGACCACGGAGGCTGGGGTTGTGTCGCGCCTACAAGAGCGCGGATCACGGAGGCTGGGGTTGTATCGCGCCTACAGGAGCGCAGACCACGGGGTAGTTATAGTGTCGCGCCTACAAGAGCGCGGATCACGGGGTTGGACTGGTGTCGCGCCTACAAGAGCGCGGACCACGGGGCTATCGTCACGGCGGGCCTCACGGGAAGCGGGGTCACGGCGTCACTCGATGGTAGCTAGTATTCCGGGTTGGCTAGATAGGAGAAAGCCTGGATGATGGCCACACAGCAGAACTTCAGCGCTTAAACGAATAGCCACAGAATAAAAGTAGAGTAAGGGTATCTTACGTTTTATCAACCAGCTGCCGGGACGGTACGGACGGTCTCAATCTCTCCCAGGTTGACGGCTCGATGTCCTCTCGACGATACGGTTGCGCAGGAGTCGAGAAAGTCGATATAAATTAAATACTCAGCTTTCAATATCCAGCGGTGAGCGGAGGCCGGAGGTGGACGACTGGCTCGGTCGGGCTTGCGGTGCAGACGACTAGTTCGTTTGAGGCGGAGGCGCGGACTGACGCTCCGGTTTTTTTTTACTGCTGGACTCTATGTTTTCCGGTCCCGGGACCGTTAAAACTACACCTGACTATTTGGTGGGGAGCGAGGGCTCACCCGGATGTGTTTGGGTGGTTGTTCAAACAACTGACGCTCCGGGCAGCGCGCAGCTGGTTTTGTAGGGCGTGCGCCGGCGGTTGGCGGCGGTCGGCGGCGGTCGGCTGCGCTCGCTTGCGTAGAGCGCCCGCCGGGCTCTTCCCGCTTGCACCAGCTTCGGGCTCCATCACAAAGTTTAGCACGAAAATTCAAAATAGTTTGATTACATACAGCTTAAAATCATTAAGTAGGTACAGTTCACGGAATTCTAAATAAAAACGTATAATGTTTACAAGGACGTTCATAATTTTTTTATACTTAATAATTTTTAACAAATCTGTAATGATGCACGATTTTTCTGAAATGGCCCTTAAATATTTGTCAGATGCAGTGGAAGCAACCGTATTTTTGCGGCCGCAAACGGCCTATCTTGCAAGAGATTGTCCCTTGAAAGACCTGATAATTATGTGTACCCAAAAGCGCTAAGGGGAATACCTAGACGAACGTACCGGGATTAAATCGGGGACATTTAAAAGAAAGGCCAGGTCAACCCTAAACTGACAGGATCGTAGCAAGTGGAAGGATGTAGTCTCTGCCTGTCCCTCCGGAAAAGAGACGTGATGTATATACGTATGTATGCAAAAGCACTTCATAGACTCGCTGGGTCTAAATGGCAGTGGGTCTATTCAGTAAAAGACGCTCTGCTTCCTTTACATTAAGGGTAGTTAAGTTGTTATGATGAGACAGTAATACCTGAGTGACGGTGGCTTAAAGCCATAAGTCAACGGCGTTGAGGTGATTAACGCAATTTTGTGGTACCTAGTTCAGATTGTGCTACTAATTATTATTTGTGGTCGTCCAAATCTAAAAGAACCTTCTGGCGGTAAAGTTTAGTCAGCTTTAGATGGTTGCAGATTTTTTTAATTGACGTATCGAAAAGTCGTAAGTACCTACACATCCACCATACGTATATACGTAGTAAATTGATTCATCTATTCAAAAATTCGAAAGTAGAAAATGTTTTAGTTTCAGTTATTTTACAAATTGATTAACATATCGAAAGCTAGTTACTGCCCTAAGTTTCCTTTTTATTTGGACGACAACAACAAGTTAAGTACTTAAGTATAAGGCGTGCAATGTGAAATATGAATTGATGAAGTGTCAATAAAATAGCTAGCATAATTTTATATATTTTCATAAGTGGGTCTGTTATGTTAGTATTTTCATGTTTTAGAATTCGCGCTTTTTCTTTTCATCGTGTGGGACGCCGAGTCAACCAACGACCCAACATTATGAAGCAATAATCAAATAAATTACCCTCATTTTTGCTATTTTATTTATACCATTACCTCGAGTGAAAACGAAAAGGATGTACGATATTTTTGACGTTTACTGATTTTTAACGTTTCTGATGATTTGTCGATAGTCTGGTTCAGTTTTAGTTAGTGAGGTATCTACTACGTGTATATCTAGGTAAATACCACACATACCGAACAATATTGCGGTCAAAACTACCATATAAAGGTCAATCCTGTGACAGCTGTCGTTTGAGGCGACTACGTGTGCGCCCATGGAGTAACGCGGCTTTTCCGTCCCGTTCCAAGAATGGCAGGCCGCTTGCTCGAAATGTGCACCTATGGTAACAGGTTTTCAAAAACCTGGATCCGGTAAAAATCCGGAGAATTATATAGTGTGTGTGAGAACCGCCCTAGGTGTGGATGTGAAGTAAACATTTCGACAAGTCATCGTCATTTGCCTCTCGCTGAATTTCGACGTCAAAGTCATAGATTTGCTCCAAAATGTCTTCATACGATGCGTAGTCAAATAGTAGGAAAATTGATGTCTGTGAAATAATAAGAACGTTGTCTATTTGTATTATTGCTACGATAGTTTCAATAGATGGATTTTGTAATTTGAATGTGGTAAAGGACCCCGCACGATTTGTTCGACAAGGGCCGTCCGGTCAAATTGGCTGAAATTTTAGGGAAAGGTAGTATGTTATGCTCTCATCAAAATGTAAAAATATCAGCGAGCGGAAATGACCAGTTTTTGAGATATAGCTATTTTAATGTTGAAGTCACTAAACATACTTTGATGTAAACGTAACTCATTAAGGCAAATGTCATATTCTTATTTATTTTTACGTCCATCTGTATAAAACCAACCCACGAGTAATTATTTCAATGGAAAAGTGTCTGTTTCGGGTATATTACGCATAATATATCAGCAAGGCAAGCTAGATTGCCTAGCCTAAGCTATACGTGATACAGCAATGTCTCCAAAGCAAAAGTTGTTTAGCATTATAGGCCGCTTCTGCTGGCACATGAACACCAGTAGTCTGGAGTTGGAGTAGGTAGACTACCAGGACCCCACCTAAACCATAAAATATACAGAAATGCCTTCGTAGCAAAAGGTGTCAGCATGATGGGCTGCATCTGCTAAAAGATTGATGTCGAGGTTCTGGAATACCTGATGTAGGCCACCAGGACCTCATCTTAACTATAAGAGATACGGAAATGCTTTCATAGCAAAAGTTATTCAACATGTTAAGCCGTTTTGATGGCACTTTGATATCAAGAGTCTGGAGATCTTGGTGTAGAACGTGCAATGATCCTATTCCTACGGGAAAGCGGCTAAGGAACAGTTCTTGTTATGAATATGTTGCGGCCAACTAGTTAAAAACACTGTTCAAATGCACAGATTGCTCTTTAATCGAGCAGCGGCGCCATTCAACTGTTAATGGTTAACACTTGTGGTTGAACACAACGTTCTACTGTTCATTCCATTCCATGACATGCCCAACTAAAGAATTAGATTTATGATTGAATGGCGTTGTTTGAATAAGGAGCTAGCTGTTATTTAAATGCCTTATTCATCCAGTTGAATTAGCCAAAGTGGTAACATAACTTTGGGTATGGAAGCATTTCCGTATCTCTTATAGTTAAGATGAGGTCCTGGTGGTCTACATCAGGTACTC